TCTTTAAGTCTTCTGTAAACCGTTTCCTTGCTCTATAACTCATATAATAACCATATACTTGGTCTATAACTTTATTCTTCTTACTCCAGACTTAATAGTGGTTGCTTGCAGCCTTGTTGGGAGTGAATCAGAATTTAAAAAGAAAAAAAAAAAAGCTGTTGACTAAAATAAGTCAGTGATATTTTTATAATTTTGCAAAAGCCAAGGAAAAGTCTAAATGGATTTATTCAACAATAAACTTTTGCTGTTTTTTTTTTAAAAATAATAGTTTTAAAATCAAAAATAGCAAACAGTTTTTTTTTTAAATTAATGTTTTTATTGTTCTTTCAATTTTTTTTTAATTAAAAATTTAGCAACAAAAATTAAAAACTTTCTATTAACAATTTGATAAATAATTTTAGTATAATAAGTAATTTTTTTTAAATAAAAACACAACTAGTACAGTACTAGCACACCAATTAGTACTAGGAAGTTTCTTATTTTTTCTATTTAACTAATCTTGTATTAAAAATTTCTTTAGAGGTTCTTAAATTATAAATAGGGCTGTTAGTGCTAGTACTTTTTATTTACATTAAATTAAGAATAATAGTTACAATAATGTATGTTTAGCAAGTTGTAAATTTTTACTTTATTTAAATGGTAAGTAAATTAGTTCATTGATATCCTTATTTTCCAATTAGTAATGTCAGTCTAGACATACCCATCAAAAAAAATCATATTCCAAGAGTTTGAAGGGCAATATCAATGCTTTAACAAAATGATAAAATACTCAAGTTCTACAACTACCTTAAAATAATCACTTAAAAAGACATGTCATGTTTTTTTAAAAGGGCAATAGAACCAATCACATTAATAGATGAGAGAGTAAGAATAAACTAATGGCATCTTAACACAAAAGACTCTTAAAGATATTGTCTCTGATTTGGCTACAGATGGCATTTTGTATTGAGTTGTTGCCAGAAATGTTTATTCACCAGTTAATAAACTTCTGCACTAAGTCTGATGAAAATCTGAAGAAAAAAAAAAAGATTGACACCATAAAATTAAATGTAGCAAATGCAGCAGACTTAAGCATGACTGTCAATTAGTAAGTGACTGGGGCCCTGGCTAAAAATGAGACTTTTTGCAAACCGGGGCCTGGCAAAATTATAAGATTTAGCAGTGGTTGATAGCCAGGGCTAGAAAAAAGTTTAGAATACTTTATACATTATATTTTTATACTTACATTTACTATTTATTAAATATTGGCATATAATTATATATTTTTAAACTCTAATTTACTATTTAAAAGCAACCACTATTGTATTCTAACTGAAGATTTAAAAATACAGACTAACTGAAGACTTAAAAAGTTGTAGGTTGTATAAAAAGTTGTAGGTTGTATAAAAAAGTTGTAGGTTGTTTAAAAAGTTGTAGGTTGTATAAAAAAGGAAAACATGAAGATAGTTGAGAGTTATAAGGTTTTTTTGATGTGCAAATAAAAAAACTGGATTATTAAAAGTTTTTATAGCATGAAGGAACAGATACACTAAAAAGATCCAACTTGTTGAATAAGAAGCCAAGCAAAAATGAGTTTTGGTTTATTGTAATAGAGATAATACCTTGTTTGAGCATTTACCATGATAGTATTTGTAGGAAAATTGCAACCTTGCAACAATCAGAGAGTGACAAGCTTGGCAAATAAAGTGGTTCTAATTACATTTACAATGTGCTTTTAGTCTTAGTCTGCTTGTTTTAAGCAATCAAAAAATAAAGACTTTTTGTCAAGACAAGAGTATAAAGTTGAGTCGTCAGCAAAAAGAGCCTTTTTAGATGTTAAATTTTCATAATAATTGTTATTGTAAATAAGAAACAATACAGAACACAAAAATAAAACCTTGTGGTACCCTTAAAGTTACTTGAAATTAAGAAGAATATAGGCCTTCAATAATATTTTTAATACTGCAGTTAAAAAGAAATGACTTAATAATCTCAAAAACTTTGTATAAAGAAATTAATTACATAGTGAAAACTAATCATAGGATAATTAGAGAGGTCAAAATTTATTCTAGAGTTTTTAAAAATTGGAACCACTTATCTAACACATTTTAATAGTTTAGCAAAAATTGAAAAGAGTTCTGAAGAACACTTCTTTAAGACTATGATGGAAATCTTGTCTAAAGAACAAACTGTAAAAGTGTTTAATTGAAAATTAACTTCAATATTAGAAACCAGAGTGATTTAGATGTTTAATAATCGGTTAACCTGTTTAACTGGTGTGATAGGAAGAATATGGCCTTTAGATTCAATAGTTAAGTTAAAGAAAAAGTTCTTTCCAAATAACTCTGCCCTATTCTAGAAAGAAGTAAAAAGATCAGACCTGTAAATAAGAGACTAAATGTTAGACTTTTACTTAATTTAGTTAATGAAGACTTTCCAAAGTCTCTAGAACCTAACATCTGAAATAAGATAGATTTAGTAAACTGATAATAGCAGAGCTTAAAATTGGACAGGACCTATTTACATTGGCTTCTTGTTTTAATAAAAAGACATTTGTTCTTAAGACAGGTGTTCTTGTAAAAATGATTACAGTTTAATAAAGTTCAAGATGGTGAAAAATGTGGAGTAAAATGAGGCTTGACTTAAAATTGAAGAGACTAAATAAAAGCTTCCAAGGTGCGCATTTATGCATATACAATATGGATATAAACATATATGTTTGCTATTTATTTAGATGCTGGTATACAATATCCTTTTATATTTATCAAAACTTTAGTATTTGTATGATGTAGTATTTGCCGAAAGAGAAGATGATCAGATGGATGTGTGGTGTGACTCTAACAAGACAAGGAAAGTAGGCATAATAAAAGGAGGCATAATCAGGTTTAAAAAATATTGTATCCAACAATGTTTGTTAGAGAAGATTAAATTTGATTTAGGTAATTGATTTAGTTTTAAGCACATAAGGGGAGGTAGCAGCTTCAGAAGTAAATGGTAATGGAAGAAGTAAGTAAACTTGAAGAGAGCGCCTTACATATTGCATGAGTGAGCTTTAGTTAAGGAAAGAAAATGCTCTTGACTAGATATTAGAGAAACAGCATTTACTAGTTATTAGAGAAATAGCATAAAAGAGGAAGACTAAAGCCTGATGATGATGATGATGATGATGATGATGATGATGATGATGATGATGATGATGATGATGATGATGATGATGATGATGATGATGATGAGACAACGACGATGATGATACAAAATAACATGAATTTGAATAAAATAAAAAACCTTTATTTTGTATAAATGTTTATGCAGCTCCAGTCACAAACCCGGCCCTGGTCAAATTTTAACCCTGGTTGCTAACTACTGGCAATAAGGCTGTTGATGATGATCTTTAAGATCATGTCGATGACAACTTTAAAAGGGCAATGATATTTTAGAGTTAATATTCATGAAAAAACTGACAATAACTATCACACATAAAATGAAATTAAATTGCAGTTTTGGTTCATGCAATGTACTCGATATATTTAAAATAATGAAACGACATTTAAGTGTCTTTAGAATATAGGTGAAAAAGATTGAATCTGCACCGGATAAAGTGCTATTTAGCAAGAAGTATATTCTAAATTTAAATATTATTGTTTAATTTTGACTTTATCATGATTTATATCTTTAAGTATGTGATTTTTGACTTGGAAAAAAATTTACACTGAAGACTGTGTCTGTGATAGTAATAATGATGATGAAATCAATTTTGAAGTTATAGTGTGATGACAATATCGACTACAATAATTTACTTAACTCACAAAAATAAATACATCAAACTGTCAACTGTTTGAAATCATGCCTATCAGTCAAAAGTCAATGCTTTTTTTGAAAATAAAATGATTTTCATCTTGATTTTAAAGTTTGCTGGAATACAATACCATTGATATAAACATACTGATTCATGAAAATTTATGAAAAATCAAGGTAGATTTAAATTTAGTCAAAAATGTAGACCTAGATGCTTTGAAAGGTTTAAAGAGGTAATCTTTTAAACTGTAGAAAATCTCATCAGACAAAATTTACTTATGACGCAAATTGATAAAATACATCAAAGTTTGATGTATTTTATCAATTTGTATATCAAAAAATTGATGGATATTTTGAGGATTTAAATCGATGAAAACTGGAATACAAATGTCATGAATTTTTTACAGTCTTGAGAATTATTATTATTTATTACACAGTCTTAAGAACTCTAAAAAAATGTTATCCAGAGATACAATAACTTTTGTTTGCATATTGACATCTTTTTTCTTTTTTTTTTTTTGATATCTTTAGTATATTGTTTTTTTGTTATGTTAGTATTATTAAAGCAATTGTTCTCAAATTTTATTTCTTCAAGAAGAACCTATTGTATTTTTGTATTGTTAAAGAATAATAAATCACCAATAGTGTCTTCTGGACAGGACGATTTCAGCTGGTTAAAGGCTGAATTTACTCTTTTTAAGAATACAGGCCAATGTACAGAAAACAAACAAGAGTTTTATGATGCATTATTGACAATTAATTGCACATTTACAAATGTTGAGAGATTTTCTTCTTTGTGCACCAACTTTTGTACCGAAATAAGATCACACCTTTAATAAGCCATATTAGCCCATGTATTTTTGAAATAGTTTAAATAGGATTCAAATTATTGAATAAAATGGTACTTATAAAAAATTCAAAGAAATGTAAAACAACTGTTTTTAGAAACCCTTTCTTAGTGTATATTTTAATAAATGTAAAACATTTATTAAAAATTTTTAACATTTGTAATGTTAAGTTTAGTTTGAGTTTTCTTAATTTTTTTTTTTTTTGGCCTCATCAATTACCAATTTTTATATATTTTCTTTTTCTAGAGAAACAAGTTTTCTTGCGATTTCTTATTAAGGCCTAAAAAAGCTGTCAATTTAAATAAAGATAATACTGTGCTATTTTCAACCGCAGTTGTGATAATATTTTTTTATACTAATAAAAGTCATTATATTTAGGTTGAAGTTGTTGTTGAAAGTTTAATTATTTCTTCTGTTGGTTTAAATATTCCCATTGATGAAGTACGGGCAGTGGGATCTTACAAAAAGGGAACAATGCTATCTGGCCATCCAGTTGCTGATCTAGTTGTTATATTAAAAGATACACCAACAGGTAATTGATGTTAACTTACCTACAGGTAAATTGATATTTATGTTTTATACATTAACAGGTAAATTGATGTTTAGTGAGGTCTAAGTGTTATAAAGTTTTGATTGTGTAATGTTAATTTTTGACTATTGATGCTTGATTTCTTTACTTCAAGAGTTGAAAAAATATTTTTAGCAACTTATAAACTCAATAATTTTTATTTTAGCTGCAGATATTGAAAATTTGGCAAATATTGTACAAGAAAAGTTGAAAGGACAGGCTCCTGATGAAGGTTTTGTCTAGCTTTTTTTGTTTAGCTTTTAGTAATAGATATTATGTTACAATTTATTTAGAATTTTTTTTCCAAAATCCAACAACATTTTTAATGATATTTTAGACCTTGTCTAAAAGGGGCTTCATTAGAAGCACCAACCCATATTTGACAACTATATTTCATACATAAATGAAAGAGATTTTTTAATTAGATAAAATAATCAGGTATAAGATAATGCTTGTAAAATGTTTATTTTAAACACAATATCATGTCCCATTATCTTATTTATTTATTTACTTAAATTTTTTTTTTTTTTTTTTTTTGTATGATGAACCTCACTAACTTAATCTTCTTAATGTTTGAGTCTTTATTTTATTTTTTCATATACAAATCAAACATGAATTGCAAAAAAATTGACTATAGCGTGTATAGTTTAATAAATTTTAATAAATTTAGAAACATTAAAAGGTAAAAATGTAATTGCTTTTATTTTTTATTTTAGTTATTTTTATTATTTTATTTCCTCTTACCTTACTGCTATTCCATTACTTTCCTCCTATTTTACCTCTGTTTTACCACTCTATGCTCCCACTGTCACAGCAACAATATTTTTTTTCTCTATGCTTCAACTGTCACAGCAGCAATATTTTTTTTCTCTATGCTCCCACTGTCACAGCAGCAATATTTTTTTTCTCTATGCTCCCACTGTCACAGCAGCAATATTTTTTTTCTCTATGCTCCCACTGTCACAGCAACAATATTTTTTTTCTCTATGCTCCCACTGTCACAGCAACAATATTTTTTTTCTCTATGCTCCCACTGTCACAGCAGCAATATTTTTTTTTCTTTTCTCCCGCTGTCACAGCAGCAATTTTTTTTATCTCTATGCTCCCACTGTCACAGCAGCAATTTTTTTTTCTCTTTGCTCCCACTGTCACAGCAGCCATATTTTTTTTCTATTTGCTCCCAGTCATAGCAGCAGTTTAATGTTCTGCTTAGCATTAATTATTATTATTAGATTTGCATTTATTTTCTTTCGGTTATGCTAGCAATCATGCCAGTTACCATATTATAACATAGAAATAATTTTTCAACTTTTTGGGTCATCTGTATACAATCTTTGTATGGCAGAAGCAATATGTAATATTTGCAATATAAACCAATATGTAATATTTGCAATATGAACCAATATGTAATATTTGCAATAAAGCCACTATAATTATTAAAAGATATGACTTAGGTTCATAGTTCAAATATAGGTATCACTGAAAACAGCTTTTTGCTCAGCGCAGAGTGCATGGATTTATTTATAAATTGTTTTTCTATAGACTTTCCTACACAAGCCAATGAAGGAGGATTCAACACTACTTCCAGTGAGGGTGCTCTAGTAAGAGTACTTGTGACAACATTACCTAAAAATTTGTTTGAAGTTGATTCAGAAAAGCATGTTGATGTCAAACTGTTAGAAGGTGCACTTGCAACAATTCGACATGCTAGATGGTTTGAAGAGAATGCTTCACATACTACTGTTCGTGTGCTTGTCAGATTACTAAAAGATTTAAAAAAAAGATTCTCTGGTCTTAGTGGTTTGACTCCATGGCTCATAGATTTACTAGTAATAAAATATTTTTTATAATATTAAAATAGTTTTGTATTTAGCAAAAGTTCAAATTTTTTTATATGTTGCACTTTACTTTTACTTTTTTAGGCTTTCAAAAGTGCAACTTTACCTTCAAACACAAGAGATCCACTTTCGATTAATGTTGCATTTAGGTAAACATAAACTTTTAGTTTGCAATTAAAAGTTAAAAAAAAAATGGAAACAATGTATATAAATAATATTTAATTCTAATTTCTTAAAATGACTTCCAAAACGAGTTTTTTTTTTTCTTTACAAATTGCTCATATTATTTAGTTTTTGCTTTTTACTTAAATCAATTTTTGGATTTCTCCAAAAAAAAAGGATGTCTCCAAAAAAAAAATTAATTTTAATTTTTTTATTATTATTATTATTATTATTATTGATGAATCTTTAAAAACAAGAAAACTGTGTAGAATAAACATAAAGTACAATATTTAAGGGCTCAGTAAGTTGTACTTTTTTTTATTTAACAAAAAGAGATTTAAAGATGGCTGATGGTGGTTCGAACCAAGGGTTGAATTAAGCGATTGAAAATTGCAATATCTGAAAAAATATCTAGTTTTTTATTTTAAGTTTAGTTAATAGTGGTCTGGAAAAATACATGTTAATTTTAAAATCAACCATTAGAAAGTTTTAATTTGTTGATTTTCAAATTAAGACACATTTTTCCAGACCATTTGAAATAGTTTAGACATAACTGTTTATAAAGCACATATTTATAAAAAGTTTTTTCTAAATGTCTATTCTAGTTTTTATAGATGCATTTCTACTACAATTAAAATTCAGGATTGCTTTTTTAAATCATTTGTTATTTTTAATACCTTGAGTAAATACCTAGTGCATTATAAAAGTAATAAAAGTATTTTTTTTTTAGTATTTTTATAACAAAGTGTTCTCAGTCTTATGTTTATTGTTTTGTTTTTTATAACTTCTTCGCTAACAAATTTAAGTTAGTTTGCCCCATTAAAACAAGATACACGGGTTTGAGTATATTAAAATTTTGAAGACCAGATATTTTTCTAGATATTGCAGTTCATGATCACTTAGTTCAACCCTTGGTTCAAGTGTTCAAATTTTGAAAGTAGTTAAATGCAATTGAAATAGACTGGCAATTCCAAGTAAAAATATCCAATTTTTTCATAAAACACAATTCACATTTTGCTGATTTTTATTTTACTCAAAGATTTTATTAAGTTCTGAACAACCCCAAAAATTTCAACCGGTTTCAAAGATGTAACTATTTTAACTTTGCCTTGAACCAACAAAATTCTGTCATTTTAAAAAAATGATTTTGGTCTTTCAAGGGCTATTCTAGGAAAATAATTTGGATGGTGGTCATTCGGTCAGTGAGAGATGTCTTTTGAGTACTGTTGTCAAATTTATTTGTAGTAATCATTTCTAGCTTTCTAACTGGCTTTGGCAAGATTTAATTTTTGTTTATTAGCATTTATTAAAAATAGTTTAATTAAAAATTTTAATTAAATTATTATTATTAGTTATATTATTTTGTTTTAGTTCTGAACATTTTTAGTTCTGTTCATATTTTAAACTTAGTTACATTAGTTCTGGGCCTGCTTTGAAAGTTTATGCTCACTTAAACTTAGTTAAATTAATGCTAGTGAATTAACTTGATTACGTTTTTTAGTTTTTTAATTATGTAATAGATTTTATTGATTGGTTGAAATAACTACTTGTATATTTTTTGTACTGCATTGAGTAACATTCAACATGACATTAGTAGTTTCTAATTTAAATCATCTATCCATTTATGAACATCAGTATATATTTAAATAATTATACTCCTATATCGATCTTAAAAAGTTTTTGTTTATATACATCTAAATTATAAATTTGAGGAGTTTATAAGTTGTTTTATGCTTTAGACGTGCTTTGCAACTACTTGCAGCAGGTTTATTTTTACCTGGATCACTTGGGGTAATTGATCCTTGTGAGAGTGGTCAGGTTCGTGCACATAGTGTACTTACTCTTGAAGAACAAGATATGCTTTGTCTTACTGCCCAAACACTTATCAGAGCACTTTGTCATGGTAATTAAATTTATTTTTTCTTTTATTTTTATTTTTTAATTTTTTTTTTACTTCAATTTAATTAAATGAAGAGTTTGTTAAAAAATATTTTGAATTCTGTTTTTACTAAATTTTACTAAATGTTTAAGATTTTTAATTGTGTTAAATTAAAAGATTTGATTAAAAATTTCAACTATTTTATTTATTATACTAACATCTATTCTATTTTATTCTTTTTCTTACTAACAGACATTAAATTAAAATACTAAAAGTTTATAGACAATCGTAAGTTCAGTTAAACAAATGAATTTCAAAATTCAAATCAAAATCAATCAACTTTTTTTACAATATTGTTTTTCTATTAGTCATATTAAATTTAAATTATTTTAATAATGACAATTCTTATATATAAGCGAAATAAAAATTTAGCAGAGTTTATTAAAATTATGCAAAAATGTTGAAATCAACAGATGATATTTGGTTAATTAAATTAAAATTTACTTATTAAAAGATTTAATGGGATCTGATTTAAATAACATTTAAATCAGATATTGAATAAACTTTTATTAAGGAAAAAAAATTACTTGGTATCAATGGTAAACCTAACTAACAATGTAAATCTAACTAACTCTTCACAGTGGACCAGAGAGACCGCCAGGTTTTATTTTGTGTCAATTAAACGAAACTTTTTTTTATTTAATTATATTTATTTTATAATAATAGAAAAAAATGTTTTTAAAATCTAAACCAAGTGCTAAGGGTTCCAAATGGGGCAAAATAGGGTGTTAGGGTAGTTTTACATCCACCCATTTTTATGATTGATTATGATCGAAAATATTATACTTATTTGAAATCATATAAAAACAGGTCTGAAAGTTAAACGTCTGAATGTTAGTCTATTTTACATTTGAAATTAAAAGTATATGTATTAAAATGAAAAAAAAAACTAATTTCTTTTTGCGCCTTTACAGGGTTCCCACTCCTCCTTAAAAAATAAAAACCTTAAAAATCCTTAAAAAATAAAAACCTCCTTAAAAATCCTTAAATGACCTTAAAAAAGTTGGAAATTTGTCATTTCTCCTTAATTTCTCCTTCTTTTTTTTTTTTTTTTTTTCCTTTTTGAAAACTTTATTGAAGTGAATAGGTTTTACTATTTGATGAAGATGCTAATAACTATTTCTTTTTTTATTTGAAATGCTAAAAAAATGTATATTTGGTATATACAAATGCATCCTTTATGTATTTTGGCGCTTTTCAATCAATTTCGAAAGAAAGGTTCCGTGCAAAAAGTGACGACTTTTTCCTTAATTCTCCTTTTTTTTTAATGAAAATTTTGCCGTTTTGGGTTAAATCTCCTTAGAAATTAGGGTAATTCCTCCTTAAATCTCCTTAAAATCCTTATTTTTACCCTCATTTTTATTAGTGGTACCCTGCTTTAACAATTTAACGGAAAAAAAGTTTTTATTGCGTTTGAAAGAACTGGTTTTTATTATCATCAATTTCTAATTGCTGAAAAATGTTAGTCTTATTATTATAAAAAAGATATTTAAAAGCTGATATTCTTTAAATGATGGAAATAGTAGTAGACATAAATTTCTGTTTATAAAAAAACCTTAACTAACAATAACAAGTTAAGTAACACTAAAAAAGTAATTCTTTTGCATAGCAAATAAAATCCAGGGTGCACGATTATATAAAGAAGTTTAAATAATCGCAAAGACAATGGCATAGTTATTGATTTATATGTGGATATTGTGCTTCTATAAAATTTGTCATATAATATATGACAAATATTATAAAAACATATATATATATATATATATATATATATATATATATATATATAATATATAATATATATATATATATATATATATATATATATATATATATATATATATATATATATATATAATATATATAATATATATATATATATATATATTATATATATATATATATATATATATATATATATATATATAATATATATATATATATATATATATATATATATATATATATATATATATATATATATATATATATATATATATATATATATATATATATATATATATATATAATCTAATAGATCTAATAGTTTAATATCTTATATTGCAGATTATAAAACTAGAGCATATTTAGATTCTTTTAACTTGTCTAAATGGATAATATTGCTTTTCAATGAAATGCTGTGTGCTGCTGTTGTTGGAAAATGTTTGGAGCCAGGTCTAAATCTTTAATTAGTGTAAAGTCAACGGTAGAAGAACTGATAAAGTTGTTTGTTTATCCAGGATATTCTCTGGATGTGTGCAGCTATCCTAATATTATATGTTCTGGATGTCAGAGAAATCTCTACCTACTAAAGGCTGGAAGACCTCCTTGAGGTTCATGGGGAGAAAAGATTGCCAAAGTATGTAAATATTGAAAAAATATCAAGTCCCTTTAACTGATATATATATATATATATATATATATATATATATATATATATATATATATATATATATATATATATATATATATATATATATATATATATATTAGTATTTATTATAAAATAAATACTAATAAATAAAAAAAGTTTCGTTTAATTGGCACGACACAAAACCTGGCGGACTCTCTGGTCCACTGTGTCTTCCATTAGAAAATAAATTACTTGATATCAATAAACCGTGTCTTCCATTAAAAATAAAATCACTTAATACCAATAAAGCATCACTTCCATTAAGAATAAAATCACTTGATATTAGTAACCAATTCTTCTAAGAAAAATATCAAAATTTTTAATTATCAACCGTCGTGTCACTCTAACATTTCGCCTCACTCTAACATTTTATTAATTACTCAATGTATTTTTATTTAAAAGAATTTGTATATAAATTTTTCTTCTATAAATTAGTTACCAACTGTTCCTTTTTAGCAATAATTTACCTAAAATGGAATGTTTTAAAATAATATCTTAACAAAATTATTCAAATTTTGTAGCAAAAACAGGGTAAAAAAGTTATTTTTCATAGTATTAAAGTTTTTTCATCAGTATCAATTTATTATCATTAGAGGTCATCCTTAAAGTATGTGCCAAAAATTTTGAAATTTGATTGGGCAAATTTTGTGCCCTTTTGCTAATAAGCTTTTTATTTTAGCAAGACCAAGCGTTAAAATTTGGAAGGTTTTGAGACCCTAATGGCACGCTTTTTTTAGGGGGGACTCCGACCCATTAGCCAGGGCAATGCTAAAACCTGTTTTTTGTCGACTCAAAAAATAGGTTGCCTGAAATACGCCTTACTCAGGGCCAGTATATAAGTGGTTGCATGTGTGCATGGGCGCCAGCAGGATTTTTTTATGTTCCAGATTAGATACTTTCACCATTGTGCATACTCCAAATTTAATTATGTTTATACCTATGCCAAATGAGGAGGCCTTGCAAAAAATAGGGATGGTAGAGGCCTGGGATTTTTAATTTCGTTGAAAATTATTGTAAATTACAAAAGTTATGACCATTCAAAATTTACACCCCCCTCATTTTTGAGGGTTGGAAATTTGCATGGTTATAACTTTTGTAATTTACAATATTTTTCTACAAAAATTAAAATCTGTCGATAAATTTAAATATAGTAAAGTTGGTAATTTAAATTAAAAAAAAAAATGTGTGATAATGTCCTATCTGGAAAATCAAAAAATCCTGCGGGCGCACATGCATGTGTGTGCATACATCTTTTTATGTTAGCAAACTAGGATCTTTAGTCAAAATTTTAACTTTTCTATTGATTTCTGGTTAATTGTGATAAATTAGAAAATTGAACTACGTACTTTTAAATTGAACCCTTACCCCCGCCCCTCCCCCATTCGCTTTTTGAAGACCTACCCCTCCCACCTAGGAGCGTACGTACTTTATGGACGACCCCTTATTATTAAGTTAAAAACACTGCATTTCTATAAAAAAAACAACTATTTAAAAATTTATAGCAATTTTACTGTGTGTTTTGGTCGCGTTTACCACCAAAATTCGATTAAAATGTTTGTTCTGATTGCTCTCTTGTTATAACTCAATTAAAATTTCAAATTTTTTTATCTAGTTGTATTTCGAGAATATCAAGTTAATGTACCTAAAACTTTTCATGGTTTTCTTTAGTTTTTTTAATTAATATGACTTAGTGACATGAATATGAACCTACTTTGTTTGTTTATTTAGGTGCAATTAACGAAGTTTTGGGTATTGAGGGTTATCCTGTTGTTGCATTAGATACAGATATTACTTCTTGGTGCGGAACTATAGTCACACCTGGTCAACCTGCTTACATTAAAGAAGAAAATAAAATTGAGTCTGAAACAGATGTTAAAGACGAAACTTTATTCGCTTCTATTGAAAGTTAAAGAATTGAGGAATAAAGGTAAACATTTTTTAGGTTTAAAATCTTCACTGATTACAAATTTGTTTTGACAAAATAACAACTTTTTCTATTTAAACTTTACTTTAGAAAGATTTCCTTTGGCTTGTTATCAGTGATCTACTGGTAGAGATTGAGACTTGTTAAGCTCACTTGTGACTAGTTTCAATCGATCATTTTATAAATTGGACCTATTAATATTTATGATCTTGAAAGATTTATGTTTTTAGTATTCGTTGTTTTTTTAAGCAATACTTACTATTAATTTATAAAATTAATTTCGTATTATTCCGGGATTTATTAGAATAAATAATATTTACTTAACACAGACTTAACTTGTTTTGACCTGAAGTATTTCAGAACTAGAAGGTTCTTTGTATGGGAGGCGGAAGTAGTTTCATTTCGTTTTCGGAAGAAAATTGTTAACGAGATTCTTGCCGGGACCATAATAAAAGAGCATGTTTAAAATCGTTGACTTTTCTTAAGAATAAACTTTATACGAGTTACATATAAAGATATTTGAAGACCTTGCAGAATAAGAAATATTTAATATTTATTTACTAATGTTCTTAGAAATATAATTATTATCTGAAAGCATTTGCGCATTCAAAAAATGATTTCAGCAAAAAAAAAGAGTTGTCAGGCGAAGGTTAGCGAAATATTTTTGGAACAAGAATTTTGTTGATTATTGCTGTACGCTTTCGTTTTCGCAGACGTGAAAGCAAAACCCTGTCGATCGACAATCACTGCGCTTATGGCTAAATAAATCGTGGGGTGTGTGTGTATGCTATGGCTAATTAAATAAGTCGGTGCGTGTATGCTATGTTAATGATTTTATCTATACAAATTTCGGTTTGTTTGCTTATACCTTTTAGGGATATAGTTCTCTTTTCGATCTTCAATTTCGGGAATTGGGCTTTTTAATAAACCCCAGATATTAAAAGTAATGTAAAGTGTTACCACGTTTTCGTCATGAGCGATTGAAACCACACAAAGTTTCATGTGTATAGATTAATTTATCAGCAGCATTTTTTATGTTTTAGTTAATGAAATTTTTATAAACATCTAACAGGTTATGTTTTGTTGTAGCTTACAATTCATAGGTGGTTTCATATATCATTATTTCATAAAATTTATTTATATACTGTAACATTTCTATCATGTTGAAATTGTCAAATTCGTTTGTTGTTGGTTTTCGAAGGGCCATATTAATTAAATAAACGGAGAAAGAACAATCTTTGTATTAAAATATCAATTTTATATCATTAATATTTGCCATATTGAATAATCATTTGAAATAAATCTATAAATCTAATGGGGGTTTAAATTAGGGTTCATTATCGAAATTGCAATTTTTGAAAATTTTCGATTAAAGCGTTATCAAAATACTTCTTTTTTTTCGAAATCTAAAAAATTTCGAATCATAATCGAACTAGCCATATAAATTTCAAAAAAAAAAAAAAGTAATTTAGAAATGTGAAATTAATTTCGAAATAAAAAGGTGAATTTCGAAATAGGAAATTAATTTCGAAAGGAAAAAAAGAATTTCAAAATGTGAAATTAATTTCGAAATAAAAAGGTGGATTTCGAAAGAAAAAAAAGAGTTTCGATAAGTCAAAATAACTTCAAAAAAAAAAGTTTATTTTGAAAAGTCAAATTAATTTCGAAAGAAAAAAAAGAATTTCGAAGTGTGCTATTAATTTCGAAAAAAACCAAAAGATATTTGATAAGCTAAATTAATTTCGAAAATAAAATTATCGAAAAGTTTAATTTCGGAAAAAAAATTATTTTTTAGAAAGTTAAATTTATTTAAAAAAAAAACAACGTCGAATTTACGCTATAAATTTTAAAAGCATAACTTATAAATGCAATTTTAATACCCTTAAATTTAATTTGCATAATAATACTAAACAACCGGGGGCCTAATTAATTTACCATGGGTATCGGCAGGTAAACCTTTTATTATATATATATATATATATATATATATATATATATATATATATATATATATATATATATATATATATATATATATATTTCGCAAAAGAATACTATTTTGGTAAATTTATTTCGGCATTTACAAATGCTTTGAATGACTAAGATTTATAAAATGCACTTTTACTAAAATATAATTTAGTAAAGAAATGTTTTTGATTACTTGTTTTCTTTAATAAAAACTAACTGCTTCAATAAGCTCGGCGCAAGCCTGTTCCGTAGCTCCGTATCTATTAAACCGGTTGAACTAAATAAGCATTCTGATGGCACCATAGTCATAAGAAATATATTTATTCTTATGACTATGATGGCACGGATGTTGCAGGAACTGAAAATATTATCCGTGCAATTTGTGTCAAAACCGGGAACAATTTTTAATTAGCTTGGAAAAATTCAATAGCACTATTTTTGTAGCTCTGAAAGTATTGCAGACTTTTTCTTTTTCAAGTTTATCATTGTTCTCAATTAAATTACAACAAGATTTATCTGTTACTAGTTCAATTAAGTTTATTGACTTTCGTTTTTTGTTGTTAACTAAATTAATCTCATTTGCAATAGGTGGGTTTGACGATTGCTGAAATGTTTTTATGGTATTGTCAGCTGAGCTGTTTGACGAGTTCAAAGTGTTATTTAAAAAGTTTGTTTCAATTGTTATATCGATTTCTTCGGATTCTTTTAGATGCATTTCATAAAATGTTTTTATAAACATTTTTGCCTTTGAAATGCATTCATATCTATAGATATCATTTTTGATAAACTCGAATTTACGAAATTTGAAATCAAGAAAAGTAGCTGCTAAGAAAAAATCATTAGCAAAAATGTATTTAAAACGTCCTTTTAGAGACCTTAATAATTCCTTTTGAAAAGTCTTAACTAGTTCTGTAAAAATAGGTTGCGATTCAAGTATTCCATTTAGTAGAGAATACAGTGTTGGAAACAGGAATGTTACTGTAACATATTTCTTTCCGCTAAAAAGTTTTGTTGGCTCTTTAATTGGGTGTAACAAATCACACAAATCCTCAAGCACCTTAAATTTAGTTGAAGTGGGAAGATAGTCTTTTATATTTTGTAATTTGATGTTTATCATATCCAATGCAGTTTTATTTGTTAATATAGGTTCAATCATATCGAATTGGCTATTCCAGCGAATAGCTATATCCTGTACTAACTTTATTTTAGTTTCATAACGAAGTGTTTCTTGAACTTCTTTTTACTTTTTTTGTAACATCTCTGAATGCTTAAATGAATCAACATCTCTGAATGCTTAAAACATCTCTGAATGCTTAAATGAATCAACATCTCTGAATGCTTAAATGAATCAACATCTCTGAATGCTTAAATGAATCAACATCTCTTAATGCTTAAATGAATCAATATCTCTTAATGCTTAAATGAATCAACATTTCTGAATGCTTAAATGAATCAACATCTCTGAATGCTTAAATGAATCAACAATGTGCCTGCATGATGAAATTACCTTGACAATTTTTAATTTGCCTTCGTTAATTTTTTCAATTTCTTTCACTTCACTTTCTGTAATTTCTCTATTAATTAATTTTCCATTACCGTCGTAATCTTTTACTTTGTAACGCTTTGACCCATTTTTAAATTTTATTACCTTTATATCGTTTAGAAAATTATTAACCACGAGATTCAAACGATGAGCAGCACACGGAAACTTAAGAACATTATCATCAAATTTATTTACTGCAAAGAAAATATTTGCACCTGAGTCAGTAACTAGTGCAAAAATCTTATTATTGATTGACCATTCACTGAAGATTTCGTTTAACTTATTAAATAAATATTCATCTGTTTTCATTTCAGACATAAACTTAAGATCCAGGTTTCGGTCAACTAGAGTCATATTTTTTTAAATAAAATGACAAGTCACACCGAGGTAGCTATTTTTACAGAATGATGTCCAACTATCACAAGTAATTGTAATGAAATGGCATCCTTTTAATTCTAGCATTAAAATTGATTTAAGATTGTCCGTAATTGATGGAACTAATTTCTTGCTCACCGTATTTATGCATGGCATTTTGTAGCTTTTGTTTAACTCACTAAGTTTACAAAATCTTTATGACGAACTATCGAAATCGGCTGATCGGTTCCAACAATAAAATTCACCAATAACTTGTTTAATTTTTTATGACCAGTCTCTTCAAAACCATTCTCATTACCGCTCTCAATATCGGATATATCGTCATCGTTGAGTAAAGTTGTCGATTTTTTAGATATTTTAGAATTAATGCAATGACCAATTGATAAATGAGATTGCATTGAACTGGTCGAGCTGTTGTAAGGTAAAATCTTATAACATATGCTGCATTTTGTTTGATTCTTTTGGTCCATTTCGAAATATGTCCAAACGAAGCTTCGTTTTGTTATTCCTTTCTTAATAACGGATTTATTTGTTTTTGACATTGTTTATTCAAACTAAAAAGCGAGTAATTTTTTTAATTGTTCGTATGTAATAAATATTAACAAATTAGTAACTTATGTTAAAATAAGTTTGTACCACATGTTACTTCTCTTACGTACCGAGATATTAATGAGATTGTTTTAACTTTAATATAAAGTGACATTTTTTTTAGAGTTATGTAACACAAAATTCGCAAAGGCATAAATGGATTTGAAACCGTTGTAAATCTCTAAATAACCACTAGAGAGTAATTAGCCGTTTACATGGCAACAATGATTTGATGTGATGCGTTTAAGGCCACAAGGGAATTGCCGTTGAGAAAATGCATTCTAAAAAGAGAGTGCCAAAATTCTATATTTCTTATTTAACCAGTTAATCTTTATTAAATTTTAGAGAAAAATTCGAAAAACAATTTAGTTTTTGCTAATTTTTTGAGCCTGGTCTTCTACTTTATTTTTTAAAATTTACAGAAATTAAAAAAAAAAATTCTTTACAGACTTTACGTAACTTTTCTTTCAAATTTACGCTATTCAAAATTAGATGGATGAATTAGACTTTTAGTCATTGTGTTTTCGAAATAAAAAAAATATTTTCAAAAGAAATTTTTGTGTAATCAAAACAACAGGCAAAAAAAAAACTTTTTATTTATTTTTTAACGCTATTCAAGCTATCAAAACGCTATTCAAGCTTTTGGTGAGGGTAAATATAATCCCTAAAAATAATTTTATAAAAGTAAAAAGTCATGAAGCATAATCTAATCAGGCGAGAGAGGTGAAGGAGAAGGTATTGTTTGTCCCGCGCAGCAG